TAGTTTCTAGATCTGTTAGGATCATCTAGTCTCTTTTAGCTGCTGATTCTCTTTGTAAATAGCTAACAGTCATTCCAGGCACTTTCTGATATCCATCTGCCCGAGTGTCGCTTTGTGTGGCAATAAGAACTTATATGTTCACAAAAGCAGCCGATGGCTTGTTCTATGCTTAAAAAAATCTGAAAATTGACAAGCTCAAAAATATTAAAGAAAAAGGGTCTGCACATGAAAAATGATCTGCAAGCTTAAATTAACTATTAAAAAAGCAAAAAAGATATGCAAGTCAAAACTGCAAGCTAAAAAGATCTGCAAGCCAAAAAGATCTGCAAGCCAAAAAGATCTACATGCCAAAAAGGTCTGCATGCCAAAAAGATCTGCAAGCCAATTCTCTAAAAGTTAATGCTAAGAATTTCTTGTGGCAGAGGTGGCTATTCTCTATTGCATGATGGCTAGAAATATTGTTTAACAGAGGGTGAACGCTTTCATATCTAAGTAATTTAGTGGCGCGTGTCATGTTTAATACTACAATGTTTGAAGAAATTCGTATGTACTTGTTATTTAGTGATTCGAAGTAAGCGATGACTTGTCAGCCAAATTGGTCAACGTGGGTTCTTCAAGCAGGCGTCGTGAGAATTCCGAGGGAGAGGTCTGGGCGTTCTCTCGAAATACGGTTTGAGGAGATTGTATCCGAAGTGGGATTTCCAAGTTCTGGAAATGCGTGTGCCGGCCAGGATAGATAAAATGAAGAAGAAAAAGTAAAGTGAAACAAAATGAAGAAACCAAACATAGAAAACAAAAAAGGAAAACGAAGATCATGAAGAGAATGAAGAGACCTTCAATTGTTACACAAAACAATTAACGTTAGTTAAGCAACTCGCTGACATAATCCACGTGACCTCGTTCCAACGACAATTGTTACCCCAGTAAGCTGCCAGCAGTTCCAACCCTCCATGCTCCTGCAAATCGTCCAATGTCATCTTGGCATACACCTCGTAACCCCCGGGAACCCTCTTTATATTTCATTGAAGGTGGAATGGCGACAAACAGATCAGAGTCGCTAAGCAGGTTGGGACTCATTGGCTCATCAATGATGGGTCTTCTGCAAGAGTGAGGGACATGTGAAAAATGTTTTTCACAGAGCGGGCGCTGAGCCTTACATCTGCGCCTGAACCAGTGCAGAAGCATGCCTGACAGCAGAACCTGAGTACTTTCACAGTTTTCCTTGTATGCCATATCTGCGTGTTTCATGTAAATCTATCCGTCCTACTATCTGGTACATCTCATCCCTGTCTCACCTATACACCAGCTTCAGTATCTTCACCTGAGAAGGAGGCATGATAATATCTTCCTGCTTATCTAGCGTCTCCCTCCTCTCACCCAGGCGTGGGTCAGCCTCGATGGAATCATCGGAGTAATTCAACAGCTCCTTCGATGTGTTGCCTTCTAGATAGTTGAAGGCCAGGGGAGGAGTTGGCTCTCATCAATTGGGTAGGTCATTGGCAACATTGCTCAGGCTTGGGTGAGCCTCCTTGATTGGGTCGTCGGAGAAATCCGACAGTTGAAGTGACAGTGAAGGGGACATCAACTGAGGAGATGTCAAACAGGATCCATTCGTCCCAGCTAATGTCATTGAGACCAGAGACAGTGGATGGCAGTGCAAAAAAATCAGCAAACATCTCACTTGCTGCATTCTTAAAGAGGTCACCCGACGCAGAGAAGAGGGGCACAGGCATAGGTATGGGCATTGGAAGGAGGTGCTGGGGCTCTTTGTTTGACCGAGGATCAGGAGTGTACACTTCCAGGAGGTGCACTGTGTGCAGCTGAGGCGAGGGAGAACTGTCGGCAGGTCCAGGGGAGGTGATATCATACATGAAGGTAGCCATGTTGCAAGATGAGATGATGGGGTGCTCTTCTCCCCTCGATCTTAATCCAGGAGGCACTGGAGGTCTTTATATGTCCCATGATCAACGGAAAAATAGTAGCTGAGATGCATCTTGCATGGATCGCCAATCATCCATACTGAAGAAGCCGCTGAACCGGGGGATGTTGCATTGATGGGGTGGACCAACGCAGACGTGCTCCTGGCCACACCCCCATGCCAACCTGGCTCTCGTCCAGTCAATGTCGACCAGTCAACCTAATCCAACCCCCCTTTTTCCCCCTGGCCATGCACCATGAAGTCGAATCGACAAACCGCCAAACCCTTTCCTACAATCGATAGCGCCGGGGACAAAGAGCAAGGGGGTGGCATGCATCAGAAAGGCCGAGCTTCACCCAACCATGTGTGCCAGTGAAAAGGTGGGCCTGGCTTCGCCTCTGTGCTCGAGCCCATGGTGTCTCTACTCTAAGCGAAAACACCCAACATGAAGCAATATCTGAGGCGCGACCTGCATCGAGGCGTTGTGATGCCGGAGGTGATCATCCTGGAAATTCCCAGGTCTGCGGGGTGCGAGTATCGATGAATGCGCCGGTGAAATCGTCCCACCCGTTAGGGGAAACCTCATCGAGATTATGGTTCCCGTGGTCGATGTCGCGGGTGCTTGCGGGGGCGCCGATGGAGCCTTTGGCCTCCTTCCCCGGCGCGGTTCTCCCATTTCTCTCCTTGGAGACATTGCTGCAGGTCACCGCCAACCCCCTGTCCCAGCCGTGACTGGTCTTGTGATTGTGAGGCGGCTGTGCTCTCGCTACAGGTATAAATATGCGTGGTTTCCCCCTCAAGTCCTTCCGTTCTCCCTCTTCCTTAATTATCTCGACCCATCCTGCCAGAATGTGGATCTGTCCCTCTTCCATTTCCTTCTCCACTTCTCATCCTACACCACCGCGAGACACCAACCACCGAGAGGCCCTTGCGTACTCGAGGACGACTGAGCGAACATAAAAAGCCCGATTTTCCCCCAGCGGTGCTCTTCATCCGTCCTCTTTGTTTTTCCAGGGCACCACCATTTTTCAATCATGGCGTCAGCTGATAGTCCCCGCGACGGGCTTCATCACACTGTCGTCATCAGTTCAGATTCGGAGATGGATGAACGCCAGCCCCCGGCGCGAAAGCTGCGAAGAAAGAGACCCCGCACAGACTACAGCTACCCAATGTATGAGGCTCAATTTGACGACCCGGCACCCTCCGAAATGTGGCAGCCACCGAAAAGACGTAAAATGCCCAACCTGGACACGGTATTGGTAAGACTCCTCCCTGTAGGGCCCATGGCGAGGCTCCTTCTTGGCTGATATTGGGATAGGAAACCGCGAACCAGGAAATCCATAACATTTTCGAGGCGGAGCATGCGCGGACAGAGGCGCTGGAGAAAGAAGTGCAACGCCTGCGTGCGGAAATGGCTAGGAAGGATGAGCGGGTTGACAAGCTTGAGACCAAAGTCCGTGAGCTGAAGTATCAATGTCGATGCCAGATCTGTTTTACCATCCCGTCAGGGTGGCGGACCCTTCTGTGTGGACATCGGTATTGCCCGAAATGCGTTCCCCCCATTGGTGAAACCTGCGCCACTTGTCGCCAGGTTATCGCTGGTGTTATTAAGAGCTACTAGGTAGAACCCAGACGGTTGAGTTTTGCCATTTGGAATGTACAGTTAAACGAGTGTAATTGAGAAATTGAATCTATCTATATAAAGGGAGGTAACTCCACCTGCATTGACCCTCAGTTTTGTATAATGGAGGACGAGCTGGGACGGAAGGATTTTGACCCAGAATGGATTAGGGCCAGTCGTGATAACAAGAACCAGCACCAAGCGAAGATTACTATGAGGGAAAGACATGCACGCAAGTTGACCCTAAGGCTTTGACTCAGTTTCCTGAATAGTGGTGGATTCATTCACAAGACCGTACTTTTCACGATTACAGTCAAACTCTGTAAGGATGTAGCCTACAGTAAGGGAGAATTATCTCAAGCAATCAGTCACTAGTCACGTTTATGTATCGTTCTCTGGATGCTACGTTCTGCAGACGCGATCTGCATCTCATGGGCGCAGACGGGGACCGTGTACACTCAGAGTATGACTCTTGAATTCCATGATGGATGGTGGAGTGAAGGTGACACCCTGTACTTTGCAGATCCCGCAGTGCTTTTGTCCGGTGGAGTACGCTTTTAGCTCCTCGCGGTGGACGCTCTCGATATGGTTCCAGAACTTGTTCGTGCGCTCCCGGACCTTCATCCGCTCCCCCCAAGGCAACGAGATATCAGCGACGCAGAATGGGCACTGCTTATCGCCCAGCTTCGCCGGAATGGATTCTTTCGCCCGCACGGTGTCTAGGGGCGGGTCAGGTTGGAAATCTCGCTGGGACGGCTGGTGTTTCTTGTGACGGCCCCGACGCTGAACCTCCTTCCGACGCTGCAGCTTGAACCAAACGATGATGCACGCACACCGGCGCGCGAACTGCTCATCCTCAGTCAGTTCCTGAGTGCCAGCGCACGTCAGTTCGACGACCCGTCTCCGTTCCGAGATCTGAAGTGGTGGCGGGGCCGGACACTCATCCAGAGACCCACCGCCCGCGCTGTTGCGGAGTCGCTGGTTGAATCGCTCCGTATCAGCATGCCGGAAGTGCCACCGCCTCTGCCGCTCAATAAGCTTGGAGTGAAGGTAAACTTTGCTGCGGTTCAGCCGGGAAACCACCTTCATCTTCTCTTCGTACAGTGGAGTTTTGCCCCGCGCTGCCGGCACGGAACGGAATCCCATCGCCCTCAGCTTCCGGGTCAGCTCTTTACTACGCTCGGTAAGCTCTATGATCTTTGGATTCTCAGTGATCTTTCTTTTCAGCTCGTCGGTAAGTTCCGTCGGGGCAGTGGCGTCGGCGTTCAAGAACAGCCCATGGGCTGCTTTCTGGACCACATCGTTGGACGGAAGCTCCATGGCCGCGGCTTCCAGATCGAAGCGGATGACCGTGTCCAGATAGTACCGTACCGCATTGGATTCGTGATCGGCTACTTGATCCCGAACGGAGGACGGAGCTTTGTCTGCGGATCCGGTAGGTCACCAGTTAGTCTGGCCAGGGGAAATGGGAAGAAAGAGAGGATAGACGAAGGGACCAAGGAGAGTAGTGGGGCAGGCACATACTGTTGATGGCGTTGATGAGAGAGCGTCGCCAGACATACTGGGTCAGACTATATTTGAGCCCAGCCACCAGGCGAAGGTGTCTGAGGTAGCCGCTCCATGTAGATCCTTTGAGCGGCGTCTTCTCTGATGTTCGATACCCATCGCCCGTGCGTTCCGGCTGGCGGAACACCGGCACGTCCAGCATCTCTGCCTTGATCTTTAGGCTCATACCGCCTAGGTAGGACGGGATGAGATACCAGTAGATGTCTTCGAGCTTCTCGAATTCGGGCGCGAAGATCTCGTCATCCATTGCCATGGAGAGAAAGTGCCCCAGAAGATCCAGGAGCGGCTCCGGATTATGGCTGATGACGAATGTTTTCCTGCATTGTCAGTCAGTCGATGAAGCGTAATGCAGTACGGGGGTTGAGAAGAGGGAAAGTTGCATAGCTACACTCGCGGCTTCTTGTCTTCACCCTTGGTGTGGAGAAGTGTGACCTTGGCCAGGAGAATGTTTGGCCGGCCAGCCACAGGGCTCCGAATGATGTGGAAGCCGATATGCCGCCAGACAATGGCCCCAGTCTCCTCAGGGCCTGCATCATACTCGTCATCCGTCACGTCCTCTATGAAGCGGCCAAGTTCACTGAGGTCATTGTCGGCGGACGTATCGCTGGTGCAGCCGCTTTCCACTGACTCTGCACTCGACTCGGTGTTGGTATCGTTTTCTCGCACGAGTTCGCCAAACAGGGGTTCCTCGGAACTGCCGCTAGTGCTGTCACTCTCTTCGTCAACATACCCTGAGTCAAAGTCCGTATCATTGCTCATATGACTATCCATGTCGCTATCCAGGGGATCGTACAGAACGTCTTCACCGCGCATCCCGTATTTGCCGCAGGACGCTTCTTCCCGGGCGGAGCGACAGCTTTTTCGAGGAGCCATGATTCGTGCCTTCTTTGTGTCGCGATATTTCTTGTCGTCGTCGGAAAGAGCCCACTTGCGTTTCTCTGGTGCTGTGGGTCTGCTACCGTGCTGGCCGATCCCGGATCCCGCCGTTGGGTAGCGGTCGGGGGTGGCACCTGTGGCTCGGGGACGGTGACGGCGACGGTTGGTCCTCTTCGTTGAGCCCTTGCTCGCTGTGTGCGACACTCCCTTTGACTGTCCGTCTCCGGCTTCCGCATCACCGGTTTTGATCCGGGTGTCGAACAGCGAGACCAGCCTGCCACCGGAGATGAAGGACAAGAGGATACCTGCAGCAACGTAGAGTCGCTGCTTCTCATCGGCATACGCCTTCGTACACCGTGTCCAATGGGCGTGGAGGATGCGGTACACATCGTCCTTGGTGCCAGACGTGCCCCTCCTCCGCCGTCGCCGGAGACCCCATCTCTTGATCACGACGTTCTTATACTGTGCAGGGCACCCATCAGCTGGAGCAACGTCAGTCACTTGGATGAGCTTACGTTCAGACAATCCTGTTCCATCCCACTGTCCATGCCATGGCCAGTGCGCTCCACATACAGGATCTTCAGGACCCGCCAGTAAGAGTCAAAGGCCGATGCTGCCTTGATGCTGTTCCGGTGGGTGTCCTCGACCCAATCAAAATATGTCTTGACTCGGCCCGCCGTCAGATTCTCAAGGAATTCCTCTTCCGTAGTCTTCAGTTCGGCATAGCAGAAGCTTTTCTCCGTAAGAAGGTAAATTCAATTTCCTTACAGAGATCAACACTTACCGTTGAACTTTCCGCCGGACCGTCCCCACACTTTTCTGAGAATTTGCGGCGTAGATTCTGGATGTGCGGCCAGCGGCCTCATGTTGTTCCAATATGGCTCTGTAGTTCGGCTTTCTGGGTGAATCCAGGCGACCCGCCGTGCGTGATCTGCCAGCTTTCGGCACTTTGGGCCTCCCAACTGGCATAACGTTCAGTGGGCGCGTGAGGCCGTCGCTGATGCGTAGGTAGATAGAAAAGAGATTCTATGGAGGAAGGCCGGGGTAGACCAGCCCTCTGCAAGGGAGTTGGGGCGGATAGGAGGGGGACTAGTGACTTGGGTATAATGAGTTGCAGAGGAACCAACGGCAACGGAAGGCAAAGGGAGGAGCGAGAGGGATGGGAGACATGATAGTATTTATAGAATGGGGAATCCAGGACTATCCCGGCGGCCATCATGGTTGAAGGGTTGAGCGCCAGAAACGGCACGCTCCAGCTGGGCGAATGGGCGAGTGAGTGGGTGAGCGATTCGTGACAGTCGCGCGAGCAGTCGCGCGAGCAGAAGGTGAGGCCGTGGACCCGGCCTCGGGCGTCAAATGGTATCCCAAAAAGCGGCGATGGGTGGATTCCAGATTGGGTCTAGTGGCGGCTAGTGTGGGTGCGAATTCGGGGTGCATGGGCGGCCGGAAGCAGCCCAACCGCCTGCCACTTTCGGCCGCCGTGGCCTTCAAAGTTGGATTCTATGTGACATTTAAATCTTCATCAACTGTCAGAATCTCAATCAATATAAAAGTGAAAAAAAAAAACAGACAAATTATTTCATAATAAAAGTAATAAAATTGATTGATATTAATATCAGATTAAAATTCTTCTTTCAAAACTTTTTTTCTTTATTAATGAATGTGAAAAAAAATATTTAAATATCATTGTTCAGAAAAATTGAACTTCTGCTTATAATCATTATATTCAACATCATATATATGAAATTCATTACATTCAATAAATGTTTTAATATGTAAATTTCTTAAATTTCAATATGATTTAATCTGTTTAAATCTGAATGAAATGAAAAACAATTGTTAAAGAAGCTCCACAGAATCGGGTAATAGTTATAATAATATAAAAAAAAATATAAAAAAATTTATCACAGAAGTAGATTTAAATTTGAATAGAGTGAATTTCTATTTATATTAAAAAGATTATAAAATTAGAAGATAACAATGAATATAAGAAAAAAAGATTTCATTAATTACACTGTAATTTACTTATTAATTTGAATGATAATAAAAAAATGAGATACAGAATCTTCAGTATTAATTTCAGTGTATATTTCAAAAAAAAAAAAAATTGTGGTATTTTTAATGTTTAATAAAGTGAGATAACACTTTTTGCAAAAGCATCTGTAATTATTCATTGAATGAATTTCAAAGTGATTATATTAATTTTCTCATTAATAATTAATTAGTTTTCCTTTTTTAGCTACTGATTAAACTTGAGAAGAATTTGTAAAGTGTAATGCACTCGTTTATTCTTTCCTTATTATTATATTATCTTTGTTTATATCTTCGTCTATTCTTACCTTTTTCCATTATACTCTCGCTATCACTATTTCTATATGTATATATATATGGATGCATGTATTTCGCACATCTTCTTTCTCTTTCTTTTCCTCTTCAGCGATTAGCTACAACTACAACTACAACTACAACTACAACTACAACTTCAACTATACTACTACTATAATTATTATTACTATTATCTTCTACTACACTCTATACTATCTTCTACTATTCACTCT